TCATAGCATTTCTATTTATTTATTTCAGGGCATTCCTTTAGGATTTGAGTATTTTTGAAGCTGAATCTAGAGTTTTATTGCAAACCATTGAAGAGTATCTTGTCTTTGCTCCAAATGAGGTAATTACCTATTAACACTATAAATATTGTGCATTCAAACAATTTTTCTTACGATTTTCGCATTCAGGTGTTTGTACTCTACTGCTATATGTACTTCTCAAAGCGAGGGAGGGGAGTACTCTTCTAGTCTTACCTTTAGTGTGCGGCTCAGTTTTTGAATCTGGTTTAGATTAATTCATAAAGTCTAGCACTTGTATATATGCGTCTGCATGCCTTCGAAGTAGGTAAGATAACCCCAAATGATTTTAGATAAGTTTATCGAAACGGTCAACACTCAAATCCCTATCTGTGAAGAAACACATGAAAATAAGAACACCCGAAAGAGGTAATTTCTGTATGGTGCTAATTATCAATAATATTTTATTAATATAAACGTTGTGCTGCTGTTCTTGATCCATTGACTAAAGCAACGCCAGGTGTTTTACAAGGTCTTTATCTCATGGCTAAAGTGCGATATCTCTCAGGTGCGTTGTTGATTTGTATCTGACATTATGACTACGTATGAAAAAGGGAACTTTCTGTTAGTTATTAAACCATGTATGCATCGTTTTCCATTAACGTTTGTCGTATCGAAACTGTTCACCCATGGTTTAACCTAAAGCAAATTTGGGTGAGAAAACTTTTTATTGTGCACCATAAACTGTGTAAACTTTACCATTAACCTTATTAGGAATGAACACAGTCATTGAAAAAAACTTTGCAATGACTCCCGTCAGGCTCATCATATCATTTTTTTGTCAAAGCCAGTTACTGTACTCTCAAAATGACAATCATCAATGTATCTACTCAGCCTATATTCTCAGTATTCTGAAAAGTATGCCTTGTTTGACGAGATCTTCAGTTTTGTATAATGGCATTATAGTAAACTGCTTTATACTGCGCAGATACACACAATGCAATCAATAGTACTGATCCATCAGTAATCATGAAATTCAATATAAAATTACAAATGCTGGTTTGGTTACACAATAAAAACAAAACATGTGTTTCTTGCGTGTAATGGTGTTTTGTTTTAAAATCTTCATTCTATTTTGTGCACAGCAATTAAGAATGCTTTGCACATTGTTCCATTATCAGTCAAAATTTTGGATGACTTGTATTTTCCATACAAACACTAGAAACAGAATGTGTTTGATCTTTGGTTAGAGGTGCTTTTGGGACGAAGATCTTTAGGGAGGTCGTGGTGAAAAAAGAGGAGTCAGTGACAGTTCAACAGAAAGCGAGTAATGCATTCATTGTGTTTGTATGTTTTGATTGTCAATCTAGGCATGATATTGAAAGAAAAGTAATGCCTGACATTTAAATATTTTGGCTAGCCAACTAGAATTTGCCTTAATTTGGCGACAAATTAAGTAAGAGATGTATACATATTACTGAGAATATTACTAGCATAAATTATTGTTGCTCACTATCTTTCAATGATGGCTTGCTTTGGCCATACCTACCTATTATTTCAAGTCCAGCATAAATTAATATACCTTTTGTAATCACATTCACTCATTGCACTTTGTATAAATATATAAATAAGTTTTAAAATTTGTAATCCAGGCATTGAATACATAAAAGATAAAAGTTTCTTCGGATAAAAGTTTTTTCTTCGGATAAAAGATAAAAGTTTTTTCTTCGGATTTTAAATGAGTTTTATTGAGCTTTCGACTTAATACATAAAATACATAAATAAATAATACATTGAATACATAAAATTGAATACATAAAAGATAAAAGTTTCTTCGGATAAAAGTTTTTTCTTCGGATAAAAGATAAAAGTTTTTTCTTCGGATTTTAAATGAGTTTTATTGAGCTTTCGACTTGTTGCTTTGAGCCCTCATCAGAATGAGGAAATGTGCGCGCGGCCAAAGAAACTTCATTAGAGCAAGAAGCATTGAAACGGCGAGAAAAGTAAAAAGCATTGAGGGAGAAGAGCGCTGCTGCTGCTGAGGTATACTATTGTCTTAATTGTTTATTTCAACCGTCAGGCTCATCGTATCATTTTTTTGTCAAAGCCAGTTACTGTACTCTCAAAATGACAATGATCAATGTATCTACTCAGCCTATATTCTCAGTATTCTGAAAAGTATGCCTTTTTTGACGAGATCTTCAGTTTTGTATAATGGCATTATAGTAAACTGCTTTATACTGCGCAGATACACATAATGCAATCAATAGTACTGATCCATCAGTAATCATGAAATTCAATATAAAATTATAAATGCTGGTTTGGTTACACAATAAAAACAAAACATGTGTTTCTTGCGTGTAATGGTGTTTATTTTTAAAATCTCCATTCTATTTTGGGCACAGCAATTAAGAATGCTTTGCACATTGTTCCATTATCAGTCAAAATTTTGGATGACTTGTATTTTCCATACAAACACTAGAAACAGAATGTGTTTGATCTTTGGTTAGAGGTGATGTTGGGGCCAAGATCTTTATGGAGGTCGTGGTGAAAAGAGAGGAGTCAGTGACAGTTCAAAAGAAAGCGAGTAATGCATTCATTGTGTTTGTATGTTTGGATTGTTAATCTAGGCATGATATTGAAAGAAAAGTAATGCCTGACATTTAAATATTTTGGCTAGCCAACTAGAATTTGCCTTAATTTGGCGACAAATTAAGTAAGAGATGTATACATATTACTGAGAATATTACTAGCATAAATTATTGTTGCTCACTATCTTTCAATGATGGCTTGCTTTGGCCATACCTACCTATTATTTCAAGTCCAGCATAAATTAATATACCTTTGTAATCACATTCACTCATTGCACTTTGTATAAATATATAAATAAGTTTGAAAATTTGTAATCCAGGCATTGAATACATAAAAGATAAAAGTTTCTCCTGATTTTAAATGATTTTTATTGAGCTTTCGACTCGTTGCTTCGAGCCTTCATCAGAATGAGGAAATATTATTTACACAAGCCGAAAGCTCAATAAAATCATTTTATACACTCCGGAGAATCTTTTATTTTTATACATTAAATATGCCTGGATTACCAATCTTTAAACTTCTAGATATATATCTTTCATTGTTTTCCTCCTTTCACATTTGATCTGCTGTGAAAGTTATAAAATTTAGAAACTACCAACCAATCACATTATTCCACCCATTTATCCAATTCGACGCTCTAAACGTTTCCAAGCTAAAAGCATGTGTATATAAATATCGTTATTCTGATGAAGGCTCGAAGCAACGAGTCGAAAACTCAACAAAAATCATTTAAAATCCGGAGAAACTTTTATCTTTTAAATATATAAAGGGATGAAAATAAAAGATTCTCCAGATTGGATAAAATGATTTTATTGAGCTTTCGACTTGTTGCTTTGAGCCTTCATCAGGATTGAGGAAATATTGTTTACACAAGTCGAAAGCTCAATAAAATCATTTTATACAATCCGGAGAATCTTTTATTTTTTACATTAAATATGCCTGGATTACCAATCTTTAAACTTATGTATATATATCTTTCATTGTTTTCCTCCTTTCACATTTAGATGTGCTGTGAAAGAGCGTGTTCCAAGGATTTGAAATATGTCTTTATTATCCTGGCGCAAATTCCAGGAGCGAATCTACATCTTGAGAAAGGTAGAGCATTTTTGCGTAAATTAATATTCGCGGTATTTAACTGACATGTTTATATATATATATATCTAATTTTGAAGACGTTAACACGCTGCAATATACTTGTGTTTTATATCATCTCAAAGAGCGTGTTCCACGGATTTTAAATATGTGTTTATTGTCCTGGCCCAAATTTCAGGAGCGAATCTAAAGCTTGGGAAAGTTGAGCATTTTTTCGTTAATTAATATTCGCGGTATTTAACTGACATGTCTATATAAATCTAGTTTTGAAGACGTTAACACGCTGCAATATACTTGTGTTTTATATCATCTCAAAGAGCGTGTTCCAAGAATTTTAAATATGTCTTTATTGTCCTGGCCCAAATTCCAGGAGCGAATCTACAGCTTGGGAAAAAGAGCATTTTTTCGTTAATTATTTTTCGTATATTCCTGCGATATCACCAGACAGCATTCTAGTGTTTTTGGTTATTGCATTTGGAGGACATATCTCTTACGTACATTTAATTTTTCCTCATTTCAAGTCTCCCGCATCGAAAGGGGATGATGCAGAAATGACGAGTCGCAGCTCGGGACTCATTGATGACAATGACAAGTTTTTCGTTGCGGATGAGGATATCACAGTGAATATGGAGATGATTCAGGATTGGCTGGATAATGAACAAGAAAAATACCAGCAACTAAAATCCAGCACGATCCTGTTGCAATCCTTTTACAGGCAACACCAAGCTCAGAGACAATATCTCGCTAAAAAGAAGGGAATAGTTTTGATTCAAGCATTTCTTCGTGGCTACACGACGAGAAAAAAACTGAAACAAAGGGATGATGCTTCACGAGTCCTGCAATGCCATTATCGAGCTTATGTATTGTCAAAAAATGTTCAAGAAAAATACAAGAACACTAGAAACGCCATAATCAAACTTCAAGCATTATGGAAAGGATATCAAGTTCGTATGAACTATAGTAAACAGAGGACTTGTATCATTCTTATCCAATCCAGAGTTCGTGGTTATATCATGAAAAGACAATACTTAAAAATGAGATTTGCTGCAGTTGTTCTGCAAATGCGTTATCGTGCATTTCGAGAAATGCTCGTCGCTCGTGCTCAATACTTAGATACCCGTAGATCAATCATCAAACTCCAGGCTGTTGTACGCGGTCATCGCTTTCGTCAAGAACTTAGACAGAAAGTCCTTGCAGCCGTTCTCATACAATCTTCGTTTCGCAGTTACCTCACATGGTCTCGATATGTATGTTTGAAGGAAAGTGCCATCATTCTACAGAGACGGTATCGTGCACGACTTACCATAATGCACCAGTCAGCGACAAGAATTCAGGCAGTTGTGAGATGTTTTTTAGCTCGAAGGTTTGCTCGAAAAAAAATGAAAGCAATCATAAATATACAGGTATGTTGGTGATTGTTGACGATTTTATAAAACCCGTCTATTTGATAACTATGAACTACAGTAGTAATAATTTTTTCCTTTCTCACCATAAAGAGAACGTGGCGAAATTACAACGTTCGAAAGCGCTTCAACTCGAAGAAGTTTAGAAAACTAAGAGAGCGAATTATTGTGGCTAATTCCAACGTCACCGAGTCCATGAAGCTTTGAAATCGTACTCGTTCTGCACTCGACTATTTACTAAATTGTAAGAATTTAACAACGGTCCGTGAAGCTCTGGTTCATCTTGGTATGTCGCACTATTTAATTTTTGCAATCTTCACTCCATTATCTTGTTTAAATTACAACGCCCATACAATCATATTATTGCCTTTAGTTCTATCCGAATTCTTATATACTGTCCATTTGCTTTTCCTCCCCATTCCATACCGTATTTTTCAGCATCAAAAGATTTGTACCCGAATTTCCTTTGGGATATTGATTTGATCATTCCTCATTCTATGAAATTTATCCAACTATACGTATATTGATCATACCGTATACCAAGATGTGTACCCAATTGTTCACCTGTATATTGATCATCCTTTTTTCTAAGATATATACCCAAGTGTGCTACTGTGTATTGGTTATCCCTTATACTCCATTCTCTCGACAGAGGTCGCAACAAGATGGACATTCAAGTGTTCACAACAACAGGTTGAGAATATCGCTCTCCGTGTTATTTTTCAAATTATCCGAGACTCAAATAGGAGTCTAGCTCACATGGGATTGATCAAACTGGCGTTAGATATTTTCACCAATGTGTCCAAGGTGAGTTTGGGCTGAGATCCATTGATATTTATTGAACATTACTGTCACTGAACGTTGGCAGTGTAATCAGTTTGTTGTTTTTGCCAATTGTTGCATGGTTAATTGTTAGTTGTTTTGTGACTCAACAAAACTTCATGCTTTCTGCATTGTTTTTCCACCATAGTTGTTGGTTCTTATTGATAAATGACTGAGAAACTGTAGTATTTTTTGTAAAGATATTGCCACTTTCACGAATAATGGTTGCACCTAATTTTTTATCATTATTCTAATATCTGACTTGAAACAAAAACCAACACACTTTTGCTAAAGTGATCATGTATCTAATTAGAAACCATTTTGATAAAAACACGAAACAATCCATGTTTTTTACCAAAATACTCTTTGGCATTCTTAATTTGACTATAAACTATATGCGCAACACATTTTTAGTGTCCAGCCACCCAGGATGCCGTGGTTTTAAAAGAAGAAAATGCATTGGAAACCATACTTGAACTCGCGTGTATTTTTCGCGAGAAAAAGGAAATTTTCCTCAGAGTTGCAAAGCTACTTACAATTTTATGTACTCACGAAAACGTAAGAAAGGTAAGCAGAAGTAAACCTCTAGGACAAGAGCTGCCTGCATGTATTTCTTCAAAAGGGTTAGTCATTCTTTGTAATGTCGAATTAATTTAGCAACTTTTGTCTGTTTTGATTCGGCTTTAGAAATTACTGAAAACAGAAAACGCTGCAATGAAGATATCTTCCATTTACTCCATCACAAAAAGGAAGTTTGAAGTCGAGATGAAACGGAACACGAAGATGAAACAACAAAATGGCAAGGGCGGACGATACAAGACTGATAACATTTATGGTGATGCCTTAACAGCCGTGATCACTCTTATGGAAACGATTGGTTTAGATTATCCCGTATAGATAGGTTTAGCTTATCCCGTATAAATAGGTTTACATTATCCTGTATAACAACCATTACATTCTAGTATTTTTTCTATTTAGGTCAAATTTATGCGGCAGTATGTAAAGTATTATTTTTAAATTATTTCTTATTTGCTCAAACTCACCGTTGTTTAACGCAGATTTAACGCGGTACTTTTTTTATTTTTAACATTTACTAGCCAAAATCAATTGATTAAATTACTCAATGGGAAACAGTCATTGACACGCGTAATATCATTTACCATTTGAACATCTACCAGGAAAAATTCGATTAGAATGATAATATGAAAATAGAAATAGACAAATTCTCGGTATCGCTAGTATGGAATGAACAAAGATCTTTTTCTTGTTATTTTAAATATTTGCATCTTAAATAGTTATGCAATTAAGTGTGTCATTGACACGCGTAATATCATTCACCACTTGAACATTTACCAGGAAGAATTCGATTAGAATGATAATAGGAAAGTAAAAATAGACAAATTCTCGGTATCGATAGTATCGAATGAACAAAGATCTTTTTCTTGTTATTTTAAATAGCTGCATCTTGAATAGTTATGCCATTAAGTGTGTCATTGACACGCGTAATATCACATTTTTCAATGAATTCTTGCATTTTAGATGAACAGACTATTCTAAATTCTAATACTGTATATCTTACATGCAAATATCCTTAATGTTTTTTCCTTCTCATTAGTTGTTGCATGGTAACGCCTTGTTTGATTCGGTTGTGCAAATTTAGAATCTCTTGTGTTTTTTTTTTAATGTAGTTGACTGCAATCAATGGTTAATCACAAACATTAAACAGTTATACTATAAAACGTTCCATTTGCTGTGATTACAATAAGCGGATTGTGTTTTGATTTATGTTTTTAAATTTCTTGGTAGAGATTTGTACGGAAAAAAGTAACTTCCAATTACGTTCACATTGACAAAGACACCATTGCCTTACTGAGTTTAAGGTGTCCCTGATTGTGATAGCTTCATCATAATTGATGAAAGTAAACCATTGCACTTAATTTGTTTTAAATGAAGTTTATAAAGATGAAACTTTAGTTTGATAGTAGTCTTTTCTATATCTTGTTATAGCTACCTTGTTGCTGTGACAATTTTTTTGTGATTTTGTTGTTTTGTTGGGTAATCATAATTTTTAGAATCTGTGAATAATAAGCTTTCTCCTAAGATGTAGCTACTTTGCTACTATTATGATAAGTGTTTTTGTTTCGACAATAATTTGTAAAAGAAAACACCCTTATTTGGCGTGCATCAAATGATATATTAGATTTTTGACGATTAACTTCATAGAGTTGGATGATTTAAAACATTGATACAAGTAACGTTTAACAAGGATGAGTACAATTTCTGAAAATTTTCTTCCTGCGTATGTTTAATTTTTATAAATTTTCATCTATGTTAAGGCTAATAATCAAGGAAAGTTGCTTTGTTGACATATGGCGTTGAAGTTTATGATGTTATATGTAATTTAAACGCTTTAATGATTGGATATTAAAACTGTGCAAGCATTCTATTTTAATCTTTTCATTTCAACGAGTGAGAAAAACGAAGATTTGATAAATATGTACTTATGATTGTAGAATTTCCTAAGTTCGATATTCACCTTGGATAGTACAGAATTTATAGAGTTGCCTTCAACGAATGAAAAGTTACTTCATGGATGACGTTAAGTTATATACAATCGAATTTATGCGAGATCCTCGTAAATTGTGTGTAAGCTATACATGCAAAAATATGGATATATTTACCAACATTTTATCGTAGAACATACATACTCTTTATTGATCTTTTTACCTCGATAATCGTCGTCAAGAGATTTTATGTCTTTATGCACCAACTATAGGTATATCTTTAAGTTTTTTTCTGAGTCGATTTTTATTGACTAAAATACTGTCACGCGTTTGGTGACTTTTCAATTGACAGAACGTTACGAGTCTAAAGGTGAAGGAACGGAATATTACCTCGAATATGAAAGTAAGTTATACTATCAAATTTATGTATAAGGCACTTATAAATTGTATCTGCCATACGTAGTGATGTACTTTCTAACATTCAACATATACTCCTTGATTATGCTTTTCCTTGTTATCTCGTCATCTCAGGATATTTTACGTCTCCTTGCGCCCAATATTTTTAAGCATTTTCGATTCAAAATCCCCTCATGAGATTGTTTGTGTAAGATAATAATAATATCCATAATAACTATAACAATAGCTTAAGAAGCATTTGTGCAAACTGGACGATTTTCCAAAGCTATAATTCACAAAGTTTATGTGTTGAATAACACAAAATAAGTCAGTTTTAAGTTAATGTCGTCCTCAAAAAAGAGCTTTTGACAATTCAAATGAACCTTCGGCATACAAGTTTCAGGCACCGTGGAGGCTCGATAATTGGGGGGCTCATATTCATATATTCATGTTGTAATCCTTAGAAAACAATGGATTTCAAAAGACTTAAGCCTGCATAACATGAATATATAAATATTAGCCTCCCCCCCCCCCAAATATCGATCCTCCGCAGTGCCTGTTTATTATATGTTCCTTGTCATATTTGAGCAAAAACGCCATAAAGTGTTGGATATGAATAGATCAAAATATTGTATCATTTTGATTACAAATTGTATTACAATGCGAAATAATATTGGTCAATTTTGGTGAATCTCAGCAGAAATAGATCTGTCCGCTTTTTTTTCTGCTCCGTCTGAATTTTATTTCCTGAAATAAATTTAGAAGAGTTTGTAAAGATGGGTTCTGGCAGCCCCCCTATATGCCTTCTGGTAGAGGTGTCTCCCCTTAAATCATTCGTGGTGTATTCCCCCCTGACTGTACCCCAGCCACAACGCCAATGGTTCGTGTTTCATAGATATACATAGGATTGATACATAGGCGTAGGAACAGATTTAAATTTGGGGGTGGGGTTAAAGTCGACGAGTATAGTATATACTACCCCTTAATTTTTTGAAGCTTTAGGGAGTCTAGTGCAAGCATTGAAAATGGAGAAAGTCATGAAACCTTTATAATTTAGTTGTATTCATTACAATACACAAAGTGCAAGTATTGTTCAAAAATCAATATATTGCACAAGACGAACGAATTTAACTAATAGCCTAAACCAGGGGTCTCCAAACTTTACAGCCAGAGGGCCACACGAACTTTCATCCAGCATGTTGAGGGCCGACGAACCGTATATCGCTGGTCAAAGAGCGAATATTTTAATAAAAAAAAGTACTTCTTAAAATAGACATGTTTCGACATCTCATGACGCCATCCTCAGTATAAGTGAAATAATAAATGACACAAGGTTTATATAAAAGTAATATGATTCATAAATGACAACAATAAAAAGGAACAGAAGATACATTTGCGACTCTTTGCGCCATTTATCCACCAGAATCAGGGAACATACCACAACAGACAAATACTCTCATATCTAACCCACACCTTCTTAAATCTCATTCATGTAAAACCAACTATTCACCCCCTTGCCTCAAAATCATCGACACTACCGACACGTCATTCTCCCTTAAAATCAAAGAAGCACTCCACATCAACAAAACTAAACCTGACCTCAATGTTCAAGTTTTTAAATTCAATACAATGTTTAGTTTATAATACGCTCGGACGCTCCACCTTAATTTTATCTTAATTCCTTTTTATTGTTGTAATTTATGTATCATATTACTTTTATATAAACCTTGTATCATTTATTATGTCACTTATACTGAAGATGGCATCATGAGATGTCGAAACATGTCTATTTTAAAAAAACTTGTCACGTATATTAAATGCGCAAAACGAAGCACATCACACAAGCTTCATTAGCTAAGAAAATATTTATTCAAAATTTAAAGGTTAAATTTCAACCAAGTGTAATATCATAACAAAATCACAATTAGTCTCTTCTGTTTTCTCAATGTGAGTGGTGAAATTGGCTTCTTAAGTGTTTCAGCGGGCCGGATTGAGAGTCCCAACGTGCCGCATCTGGCCCGCGGGCCTTAGTTTTAAGACCCCTGGCCTAAACGATTTGTCGTACTATTTGCAAGCAACGAATTCTATTTCATTGTCAGACTAAGATGTTTTCACTCTCTGAAGAGTTAAAAATGGACCTTCGTTGTATGCAATTAATGGGTACAAAGACCTTTATGGGCTTTACTACACATACAAGGACGTACGTTTTCATGATGTCTCTTATCGTGCTAATTCAAGTGATATCCATAATTCACATTTGATCTTAGCATAAATTTTGCTCGTTTGCGGTCTTTACTAAATCTGACAGTATTGATATTGACAGTATTGATATCCTTCTTAAGTCAATTTCTACTTCGTTCTTGAACTTTCTGTAGTCTGGGTGACGGGTACATAACATAAAACCCCTATATGCACCTATCACAAGTTCAATATTTGCCTAAGATCAAACTTTATTTGTCAAACCTGAGCTTCAGTTCATATCAAATACTGCTATCCGCGTGCAACACTGCATACTTTTTTTTTAAATAAAGGCATCGATCGCTGCGGTTCTAATAGTAGAACCTAGTCTCGCTCAGAGATTTTATGGTAGTTAAAGTGAGCCACTTCAGCCATTAGTCAACCTAAAGGGCAAGAATGAGCTACACAATATACCAATACAGCCTTCGGTTCTTTTTCTTTGAATTGGGTCTAGTAACTGCATTCAGATGTCGAGTCATATAGGTATTTGGTGCCCCATCATCTGCTTGTTTATGACTGTTCAAATCAGGGGAAGGTTACCGCGAATACGGCTGCTGTGACTATCAAGTCGTCATACAACTTGGGAATAAACAATTTAATGAAATTAACCAAATTATAATTTGTTACTTTCAAATTACGTTAAAGACCGTTTGGTCCCACGTACAACATTCAACAACAACAATTTGTCTTTTACTCTAACTAAACAACAACACTCTTTCAAACATCACGTCCTTCTTCCGATTCCGTTCAAAGCGACAAATCATACGGTAGCAAAATCATTATAAGAGAAACTTGTAGCAATTTGTGTGGTGTGTCACAGGCAATATTTACAGTCAGCCAACTTCCAAGGATGATAGCTAACCACAGTTGCATACACTTTTTTATTTAATTTGAACAATAGAATTTTGATCATAGTCTCTTATGGCTAAATTCCGTCCTAAATTTTCATCGTCTTGTTTCTTTGATTCTTTTTTCAGACAGAAGTAAAAACGGTGAAGAAATTAAAGTTATTGCAACACTTGAAAACAAGAGAATTACGAGTTTTTTCAATCCTGGGTGGGGTGTATTTTTGTCAATATTAAAAATTGGAACACATTCCTAGTTTGATTGAACTTTCATGATCTTCTCCAAACTCTTCGAAGTTCTATGTAGGAATCTTGCGATGATAAGTATAAAAGTGAACAATTTTATTGGAAAAAATATAAATGCGATAACTATACGGTAATTCCATGGAATTGGGAGTTTTTGTTGCGTTTTTAACCACAAGTAAGGTTACAGATATCGTTGGGACTAAATCTCGTTGATAACAAGTTTTCAAGATTGTCTATGACGAGTAAAAAGACCTTCATATAGTTATGCGTCACATGAATTTATTT